AATAATTAACTTGGTTCTCTGATCTCTTACTACTGCTTTATGCTGGTGCCTTTAATTTTACAATCTCAGATGGCTTTGCAAGCATTAATTGTGCGTCTCAGTTTTTCTATGAGGTAGAAAATTTTCACTTTACTATGCTTTACAGATGGTTCCATTAAGAAACAGAAAGTAAGAAATTAGCTCAAGGTCACAGAGCAAGTCAATGGCACAGCTGGAAACGGATGGACTCTCAGGACTTGCTCTAACCTTTAGACATAATCCCTTAACCTAACTGTAAAGGGTTTTTTTTAACCATCTATCCCACTCACCTTGTGGTCACCTGTCAGGCAATCTATCTCAACCTCAGAGGAAGCAACACCATATGTGAAGTAGCAGAAAGGCTTCCCTTCATTTTTATCAAAGTCATATCCAAGGTCAGGCATTCTTAATAAAAGAAAACAAGACATTTCTGGTTCCACGAGCAGTCAAAATGAATAAGTTTTGACTGAAGCACACTGAATTTCATATACATTGATTTTCTTACACTTCACCCATTTTTTCTGGGTGTGGGCTAGAAGCACAAAGAAAAATAAGGAATAAAATCAAGACTATTTTGCATTTCATGAACTTAAAGGTCTCTCATGAAAGCTCTTTATCAATTAATCTGATGCCTCAGGACCTCCACATTTACATTGTCCTTAACCATCTTTATCCCAAGACTACAATATCGAATACTTTATTTTAGAAACAAACTTGTGTGTGTCCTGGAACTAGTTAAATTTGGGGAAGAAATGAAATTGGTCCAAATAATAAAACTGAGATGTTGAGCAATTCATTTTTTAAAAAGTAATTCCCAGCAAACCCTTTGTTATACAGCCTTGACTGTTTATATTCTTTATTAATACTGACATTTTATTAAACACTGAGAGACCTGCTTAAGTAGAAGATTAACACATTTCACAGACACAGTAGAAATTGGCTCACATCATACATTTCAGAGCATTTATTCTCAGTATTGTGTTTAATGTTTTGTGACACATTCTGTGCCTCTTAGTGATGACACAGTCTTGTTTACCTCTAAGAGCTAAGCTGATTGATGGGACAAAAGTGCCATTTTACAGCTACACAAGAAACAATAAGAACAAGAAAGTTTTTAAATGTGGGAGTGAAATTGAAAACAAAAGGATCGGCTCATGCACTGAAGGGCAGGATGTGACTTCAAATTGACTGCTGAAAGCAATCATTAGTTTTCTGAAAGCAATAATTATCATGTTTGGGGCTTCTATAAGGGTCAAATATCGTCCCCTTTTCTAGTAGGCATGGAATGCTCAATGGGCCATGAAATAAGTGCGAAGGCAGGGGCCTGGGAGCCGCAGCAAATGGTACAAACTGAGGGAACAGACTGTGATCTCATATACACCTCTTTAATTTTAGATTAACTCAACAGAAGGCAGGTGTTAGATGAACTCCTGACCTGAACAGGTGAAAGTGAGATCTGAATCTGGTGCCATCTGTGGATCACAACTGTGCTCCACCAGGGATCTGTCCTCTCTAGCACAGGAAGACATCTGGAGGTACAGGTTTGACTGCTAGAAACATCCTTCAGTTTAATTCTCATACAGGTGATGCATGCAGCTGCTAAGAAAACTAGAGCGGCCCTAGCCTGGTCTAGGTTGCAGTATGTATTCCTCCCAATAACCCTTGTGAAATATGCTTGCATTTAAGCCACATTACTAAGCAAGAATATCACTGCATTTCCCCAGCTTTAATACTCACCTATAAAACCCTGTGGCTGACAGGCTCACACAGTTGACATAGGCTGCTTGAATCTGACAAAGTAAACAGATATTTAAAGTTACTGTTATCCATCCAATTTTTGTGTCATAACTTTCTCAGAATGTGTTCCAAGAATGCAACCGCTGCAATGCCAGTGCAGTTATGATAAAGGGGTAAACCTTTGACTACTGCCTGAGGTATCACCGTTAGGCCCTATCAAATCACCCACATGCAGAGGGACTAGCACAAGACCTTTGCCTCACTTGCATTAGCTATCTGCTTAGAGAAGGGGATAAACATTTCAACTCAAAGTGAAAACTTACTTCCACTAAAGTCACAGCAATAGTCCCATGACCAGGATTTCCCCTTTGTGGCTTTCAACCCCGCCCTCCTTTTCTGTCCACCCTCCCAACATACTCTTTCAATTTCTTAATTCCTTCACCTACTTTCAAAATCTACCCCATGACTGAAGGATAAAATATTTCCCCAAGATCCTGAAAATTAAACTTTTGATTCTCAAAACTGGCTGGGAGTCTCCAACATGTAGGTATTTCAACTGAGAAGGTCCTTGACAATACAATACAAGGTCTGTAAATGTCCGGGTAAGGGAGATATTGGGCACATCTACATGTGGTGATTTAAGGTACATTAGCCATTTTTAAGATGCATTAAGGGCATGGGTCTACATGTGTGTGCCCTTAATGTGCCTTAAAAATGGCGATTTTCAGCTAATCATGCCTAAATTTAATACCTGCATTAAGCAAGTATCAAATTTAGGAGTGATTAGTTAAGGTGCCTTAACGCACGTGTAGACACCATAAGGTGCCTTAACACTGTGATTGAGCAGGCTGGAGGCAAGCCTGTGGGGCTGCATGCTGCTGCCAAGATGTGGCGGGTGCTGTTCTGCAAGGCACAGATGCTGGACCTGGAGCAGTGGTTCCAGCAGCAGCGGTCCCTGTCAGTGTGCGGTAAGTCAGTGGAGGGGGCAGGAGGTGCGAGGACTCCTGTCAAAGTACAAGGGACAGCCCCCCCCCCATGACTCCCTGCAGGCGAAGGGGGCAGCACAGCACAGCCTTTGCAAGCAGCTTCCCTGTGCCTCTCCCTCAGGGTGGATTTGGTAGCTGGGCAATGCAGCCCTGCAGGGGTGGGATGCCTCACTAGCCACCCAGGATTCAGGCACCCTAGAAGTCTGCTCTGGGACTCCTGCCCAGGACGTCAGGTGGGCTGGGACTGCATCTGCCCCCAGTGCCCACCACACTTTCCCTGTTCCACCCACCTCTGTCCCAGGCAAGTGCCTGACCTCGGCGGGTTAGATCTGAGGCCGGGGCCAGGACCAAGCTGATTGCATCCAGGGGGGACTGGAGGCTCCCATCCCCTCAGCTGGCGCTGGACTGCATCGCCTGGCGACACTACCACGGGCTTCCGGGGGCTGCCTCAGGTGCTGACCAGGGCAGACTGCCCAGCAAGCCACGTTAAGGCTCCTTAAGGTGTCCACGTATAGACGCGTGCCTAAATTGCCTTAATGCACCTTAGATTAAGGTGCATTAAGTTTAGGCACATAAAAATTTACATGCAGACATGCCCATTGTCTTCATTGAGACATGCTGAATGGGGTCTTGAAAGTTCCTAACAGAATAGTCATCTTTTTCACAAAACCACCAAACAGAGGTGTCACTCCAAGCAGGTTTGCAGTCTGATGCACTGGAACTATTTGAGATTCTTAGTTTAACTTCACTGGGGATTGAACTGCATTTGTGACAAAATCTGCATTAGCTGCTTCCAGCACACTGGGAAATTGTTTGTCAAAACCATTGCAAGAAACTAGCTGTGATCCCTTGGAGATTTAGATCTCTCATATGTATCTACTTCCAGGACCAAATTTCTGCTGCATTTCCTATCCTAAAACTTTCTGGAGCATTTCCTTAAAAAGTTGAAGAAGGGACTGTCTATAGGCTTGATTTGCCAATAAAAGGATTCTCTATATAACCCACCTGTAACAAGTGTAAACAACTTACCCAGTCTTCCCAGGATCCTTTAGGGTTAGACTGTTTGAATGGCTCCAGCCTTTTTAAAATAGTCTGGCATGCATTCTTTAAAAAAAATACATATATATTATTTTTAGAGCAGTCATTTGAAAAGTCAGTATGTAACATAAGGTTCAGCATTATCACGCAATGACCCTCTGCCTCAATCAATATTTCCCTTAGGACACTGATACATCAATAAAGGAACAAGGTTCAGTAACTGGGAGACTGATTATAAAGAACAGACCAAAACACAATTATTCTAAAGCTGACTGTGTTAATGACACAGGGGACCCCCATTACAAAGATAGCACTGGAAAACCATCAACTCAAAGACATTAATGATTATATCATTGCTCTATGAGAATGTCAGGTATGCTTCTTGCTGTCTGTTTAGACGGAAATTCCATCTACATGGAAGTAACATTAAACAGTGTAGCATGCCTTCAATTTAATGCCACAGTCATTATCAGGAAATTTGTCATTTATATGGCTCTCTTGCTTTCTTCAATTTACTAATTTCAGACTATAAATTTGGTGGTTAATAACAGACTGAACATGAGGTGTCATAAAAGTCTGAAATAAACATAATCATTTGTTACCAGCTATATGCTAGTAACTGTGGCAGTCACAAATAATTAGGAGTATTCTATGTCCCTTTTTCAAGGACATTAGGCATTCTGTGTCTTTCTAAAGCAACATAGACATGACACACTTATCTACTCTGGAGCCCTAGGCTATTATATAGAGGTGTGAGTTACTTAGTTTCCATACATAGACAGCCATCCCGTTAATGTCTGAGCTGACAGAAGCAGCTGTTGGAGACGTATTTGGGACTGTGTTAGTGCTCGTCTCACTGATGTAAATTTTCGATGTGGGAATTCCCAGAGTTCTGCTGGCAACCTGCAGAGTAACAAAAATATGACTGTTTACACATTTGAGAGTCAAGGACATTCTCTAGCTAGAGTATCTATGTTGCTGACCCTAAGTATGTAACCCTATCTCTTCTCAAGCCCAAACATCAGTTGGTGATTTGTTGGTTGTGTTGCTACAAGTTGCATCTAGATTTTGAAAGGTCAAACTCAAAAACCTATGTGTGCATACATGCTTGCAAGCATATGTATGTGCATGTATGTGTGTGCTGTCCATGTACTTGCAACCCTTTCATTCTGCAGGTAACACTTATTTATTTGGATTATTATAGTCCAAGCCATAGAGTTAACAATTACAGACATAAGGGATTCAGTTCATCTCCCTGCCAATTCAAGACTGTTGTCTATAGAAGAGTTTTGTCCTATCTATCTGTAAATATCCCAAATCAGAGCTGTCCAGCTTCAAAGCCCTTGGGGGCCACACACCATGGAGGCTGCACCAGGTGCTCCATGCAGATGCTGCCACCCACCCACCCTTGTACCGCATGTCCCCCCACCACTGTGTCACATAGTGCATAATCCCAAAAAAATCCAGTGTAACTCCTTCCACCTCAGTGGAGTTACTCTATACCCACACTGCCATGAGAACAGCATCCATCTTTCCTGACACTTATCAGAGAAGCCAAATGCAAAAGTGAGAGAGGAAGATTAGTATAAAAATAGCATGGAAATTGCAGTTTAATGGGATCAGAGAAAAATGATCCCAACTAGGCAGTAACTAGTACAGCCTTATTTGTTCTGCCTGGTCTAGAGTAAATTGGAAATAATAGTTTAAACTAGAGAAAGGATAAAGGGTTCTGTCAACATCAAGGGATAAAGGGTTCTGTCTGCATCATATGAAGCAGATTACAAGTCTCACTCCCCATTATTTCACTTTGGAAATCTAGCGCTATTACAGATACAGTCAAGGTGATTATTAGGATTTGGTACCCTTTGCCATTTCAGCAGCACTTCTACCACCAGCTGGAGAGAACACTGCAAGAGTGAAAGTGCAATGCAATATAAATGATGTCTCCTAATTACCTGGATCATCTTGGTGTGAAGTCCTTGACCCATCTCGGTACCACCATGCGTAAGCAGCACTGAACCATCTGTATATACGTGCAGAAGAGCCCCAGCCTGCAGTAGAGATTATTTAAAAGATAAAGGGTCACCACAATTAAGCTTGTATATAGCTTAACAAATTTTATTTCCAGAGTACACAAATAAAAACTTTGGGACTTGGCTATAGAGGGGTTAGAAGCTAATTGGAGACAAACACCAAGGAACCAGGATCCTCTTTAATATTGCTCTCTTACACTCAAGCACAGTTTGGTCTTCTTCTTTAACTGAGGTTCAAATTACAGTTTTCACAACATCCGCTCACACTTTCAGTAAAATGAAGTAAAGTGAGCCAAGCTGGGTCTGTCATTAGTAGGTCATGAAACAGATAAGGAACCTCTCACCCAGAATTTACAGGATGACAAAAAACCCAGCTCACCCAAAGGAATGATCCAGTGTATGTGGATAACATTGATTTTTGAATGACATCAGATCCATTCTATTTTGCATGGCTGATATCTTTGAGAGAATAAGAGGAGAAAATGGAACCAAGCAGAACGAATGTAGGTGCATTGTGGTGACTTATGAATATATGTAAACTGGGAGTTGTGGTATATACTATCTGTATTGAACAGGAAAGATTCATATAATTTCTCCCATAGAGACCTTCATAAGCATTAAGAAATCTTGATGCATAGGGAAAGCCTGGATTAGTGAACATAAAATCCAGTAAATCTCCAGCAAAGATGTGTGACACTTACAGACCTGGTTCAAAAAGGGAACAGTGAAGCTGATGCCAAACTTTGTAGGAATAATGGCCATCCCCCTCTTCTTCCAGCGATTCTGTCTGTGAGACCAAACACAGTTACTTATTCTCCACTCTTCCTTCATGTGTTCATACTACATTATAACTATTAAGAACGTACCTTGTTTTTCGATCCCAGTAAGAGGAGGTCTGAACTGAGTTTTTCCTCCTCCCCTCCCTCCCTTCCTCCAAAAAGATTCAAGAAACTGTCAGAACCCAGTAGTTAAGTGCCTCGGCACAGTGGAATTTTCCGCTGCGGTGGAGAACCCTGATGCAGAAAAGTTCCCGCCATCCTTATGCAAATACGCACACCATTATTGGCCGGTTCTAAATTAATCCTACATGGTGACTAGCAATTGGTTCGCTAGCCGTATAAAAGTTAGAGCAGTTTCCAACCAAGTCGGAGAACTCCGCGC